ACTCCTTTTTGTAGGTACCATTTTCCCTATTTTTGACAACCAGTGGGTGAGTCTAGTACTAGCAGTGCTAAAGAAGAGTGGGATCACAGTTGCAAAGAATGAAAAGAATGGTTTGATTCCTATAAGAGTGCAAAATAGCTAAAGGATATGTAACATCCTGAATTTCTAATCTTGTGTTAATAAATGATTATGGATGAATTAGTGATTTAATGCAAGGATTAGAGTCCTTAATTGTGAAGTGATATATGTGTGAATGTGTGAATGATGAAATGACTGAAAGGGCTAGTGGATAGATGGAATTATTTGTGTATTTAAGATAGGTAGAGATCATTTGTAGTGTTTTGGCCATATATAAGATTAAAGGAATGAAATATGAATTTAGCCCAAAGGGAGAAATAGGCAATTTACAAGCCAAATTGGTGTATGTGTGTTATATTATGCATGTGTATGGTCAACTAGGTGTATTTTGTCCACTTGGATTTAGTTAAGGCCCAAAAGTGGCTACTGACAGTTGGTTTCAAATTGAGACACTTAAGCGATAAAAATTTAACTGAAAATGATCAAACTGTAGTTTAATATCCATTTTATGATAGAAATATTAGATTAGGATGAAACCACTGTCATTAGTAAGATTTTGAAACAAACTTTGTGTAGGTGTTTAAACCATCCCAATCAGACTTCATATGTAGAAATGGCACCATTTGAATTTCATATCAAAAACTGCCATTTGATAGTAAATTTAGGTGTGTGCGCTGCAGCACATGTACCCGCATGCTGCGATGCACAGTACAGGGCATATGACTGTGGCCTCTATGCCACATGTTATAATGCATATGGCATGAGCCCGATGCATGGTGCAAATTTTCACTTTATTTTAAAGTGATGCACATGTTTTATTGACCTTTGATGCACCAAATCTATGTGCTTCTGATATATGTGTAATTGGGTATGAGGTTGAATAACCTAAATAATTATAAAATATTTTTTAGAAATCTTTTATTGGGATCTCAATGTTTACAAAAATTTCAACTCAAATATTCAAAGTAATTAGTAATTTGGTAGTGGAGCGTATGGTAATATTAATGAGGGCACTACAAATTATTGGTATTAGTTTCTTCAATATCTCAATTTGCTTATGCTTTTATTTGTACATTCATTCTAGTTTGTGGCAATTTATATATTATTCATTACACCTATTCTTTCCCTTTTCCTTAATCTTTGTGTTACTTTCATCCTTAGGAGGGGAGAAAATGAGAAGAAGAGGTACTAGAGCTACTCGTAACACCCAAGTGTCTAGGCATCTGGTTGAGAATGAACTTGTGTCTGGGTTTCAACCGGACATGCCTCAACAAGTTGATAAAAGAGATGGCTTGTTAGAAGAATTGAGGAATATGATGATTGATATCCAGTAAACAGTTAGAGAACATTATGTGTTATTGCAAGGTAAAGATTAAGAAGAGGCAAGAGAAGCTCAAGAGAGCCTAATATTGGAAGAAGTTCATAGTAGACTTAAGGAGACTCAAACTTTAAGTAGTAGACAAACTGTGGGAGTTGCTATAGATCTATCTATTGACTGAGCTTGGAAGACATATATGAGGTTCAATCTACCCACTTCTAATGGTAGTATGAGAGAAGGAGAAGCTGAGTAATGGATTAAGCACCTCAAAATAGTATTTGAGGTGGTGACCTATACTTCAGAGCAGAGAGTGACCTTAGCTAGGTCCAGTTAGTTAGAGCAGCCAAGAGATGGTGGGATTTAGTGAAATCGACTGGTGGTGTGAAGTATTCTTGGGAAGAATTCAAGAAGGTATTTTTTGAATATTACTTCTTATTATCTTTTTATACTGAGAAAGAGGAAGAGTTCCATGCATTTAGGGAGGGGGACTTAGAAGAAAAGGAATTCATAAAGAGATTCAATGACTTATCAGCCTATTTTACCTATCCGCAACACCATAATGACATTAAGTAGAAGGCAGAACAATTTCTAGATAAGATGCGTTTAGAGTACAGGCAGTAAATTGCTTTGTTCGACATCGCTACTTATGAGAACGTGTTTCATAAGTTGAGAACAGCTGCGAAGAGAGGCAGAGAAGTAGAGGCTGAGAAGAAAAGGGATAGTGTGGGAAGATTTACATCATCTTTGGGTCCGTCAGGCGACGTATTGAAAAAGCTCGTGTATAGCTCATGTAGTTTTGGAGCTTATAGGAAGAGGAGCTTTGGTAGAGGTTCTCAAACTCAATCAGTTTAGAGAAGATCTATACAGAGAAGTACTGTGGTCAGAATTGGGCCTCAACAACCTTCAAGGTAAGCCTCAAACACATAGCTCCTACTTTTAGCACTAGAAGGTCACCCCAGGCAATGTCTGTGGTAGATTTCATGTGAAAAGATATTGGTCTTGTTCTAAGTATGGAAAGCCGGGCTATATTACCAAATATTATTCTAAAGGTAGAGTAGAGATGGCAGAGTAGTATGCTACGATTCCAGGATGAGTGTTTACTACGATGCAAGAAGAGGCTAAAGCATCTCCGAACCTGATCAAAGGCATTATTTCTATCTGTGGTAATAGAATTGAAGCTTTATTTGATTTAAAAGCTACACATTCGTTCATTTTAGAAGAATGTGTAGATAGATTGAAGTTAGAATTGAAAGAGTTACCTATGATAATTAAAGTGACTACGCCTTGTGGACTCTCAAGTATTACTAGCAGAGCATGTCAAAGAGTTGAGATTATATTTGAGGATCAAATATCTGTGATCAATCTAATTTGCATTCCCATGAAAGGGATTGATGTGGTAGTTGGCATGGATTGGCTAGCAACTAATAATGCTATGCTAGACTATACTAGGAAGTAAGTGTCTTTGTCGGTGTCATTAGCAAGGACTTGTTCTAATGAGCAACTTAGATTTCTATCAGTTGTGCAAGCTGCGAAGCTAATCAAGCAAGGGTGTGATGCCTACATAGTAGTTTGTGAAGCTAGCAGCATGTATGATGGTGATATTGAGAAGATTAGCATGGTAAGTGAATTTCCTGAGGTATTTTCTAAGGAGATGTCAGGATTTCCTCTGGAAAGAGAAGTTAAATTCTCAATCCTAGTACAAAACCAATTTCTAAAGCCCCGTGTCGGATGTCATCATTAGAGTTGAATGAATTGAAGAAGCAGATTGAGGATTTGCTTGACAAAGGATTCATCAAGTCAAGTGTATCACCTTAGGGTTCACCAGTATTGTTTGTAAGAAAGAAGGATGGCAGTTTATGACTGTGCATCGACTACCGACAGTTGAATAAGATGATGGTGAAGAATAAGTACCTTTTACCCAGGATCGATGATCTATTACATCAATTGGTTGGAGCCTCAGTCTTTTCCAAGATTGACTTAAGGTCAGGGTATCATTAGTTAAAGGTTTCTGAGAAAGATGTACCTAAGACAGCCTTTTGTACATGTTATAAATACTATGAATTCTTTATCATGCCATTTGGTCTGACCAATGTACTTGTAGTTTTCATGGATTACATGAACCGTATCATTATACCATATTTAGACTAGTTTGTTATGGTTTTCATCAATGACATTTTGGTTTATTTGAAAGATGAGGAACAAAATGCCAAGCATCTTCAGATTTTCCTTCAGATTCTTATGAAGAACAAACTCCGTGCTAAGCTCAGTAAGTGCGAGATTTGGCTAAGAGAAGTTAGATTTTTAGGCCATATGGTATCAACAGATGGGATTTCTATTGATCCTCATAAAGTTGATGTTGTGTTAAAATAGGAACGACTTAGTTTAATTATGGACATTTAAAGTTTTATAGTATTAGCTGGATATTATCGAAGGTTTCTCTTAGATTACTTCCCCATTGATGAAATTGATTCGGATATATCAACCCTTTATTTATGATGACAGGTGTGAGATTGCATTTCAAAAGCTAAAAGAGAGATTAACTATTGCACCTGTGTTAATAATTCTGAATCTAAGACTACTATATGAGGTGTATAGAGATGCTTCCTTAAGAGGTTTGGGTTGTGTATTAATGCAAGAGTGGTGGCATATGCATTAAGACAACTCAGGCCACATGAAGAAAACTACCTGGCTCATGATTTAGAACTAGCAGCAGTGGTTTTTGCAATAAATTTTTGTGTCATTATTTGTTTAAGTCAGTATTTAGCGTGTTAGTGACCACAAGAGTTTAAAGTATCTAATGGACTAAAAGGAATTCAATATGAGACAAAGAAGATGGATGAAATTGGTTAAAGACTATAACTTTGAGTTTAAATACCTTTCGAGGAAAGCTAACATGGTAGCTAATGCGTTGAGCAGGAAGACGCTACATATAGCTAGTCTAATAATTCAAGAACGCAATCTAATGGAGTCTTTCATTGATTCTCAACAGGATGCACCATTGAAAGCTTTAATTAGTGCGTTGTGCATTTTGAAAAACATCAATTAGATAAGTTTAAAAGGGAAGCTAGATATTACATTTGGGATGATCTATACCTTTGGCATACATGTAGTGACTAGATTATTAGGAGATGTATTCCTGACACTAAGTTTGAACCCATATTGCATTTTTGTCACACTCTTGCTTGTGGAGGACATTTTGGTCCACAATGTACCGCTAGAAAAGTTATTGATTCTAGATTATATTGGCCTACTTTGTTCTGTGATGCATATACATTTTGTAAGCATTGTGCTAGATGTAAGCATATAGGAAATATCTCCAATAAAAATGGGATGCCTTAAAAACCTTTACTTTTCTATGAAATATTTGATGTGTGGGGTATTGATTTCATAGGACCTTTGCCTATTTCATTTGGATTTCCTTACATTTTATTAGCTATTTATTATGTTTCTATGTGGGTGGAAGCTAAAGCCACCATGATTGATAACTCTGCTATTGTTGTAGATTTTGTTAGGTCACATATCTTTTATAGATTTAGTATTCCAAAAGCTATTGTCAATGACCAAGGGACCTGTTTTAGTAATCAAAGCATGAAAAATTTGTTAGGCAAGTATGGGATTATGCATAAGATGGCTACCCCTTATCATCCCTAAACTAATTGGCAAGCTAAAGATTCTAGCTGAGAGATAAAGTAGATTCTTGAGAAGACAGTACAACCCAATAGGAAAGACTAGAGTTACAGACTTAATGATGCATTGTAGGCACACAAAACTGCCTACAAGACTCCAATAAGAATGTCTCCTTATCGGCTTTTTTTTAGGAAAGCTTATCACTTACCTGTGGGGATTGAGCACAAATCTTATTAGGTAGTGAAGCAATACAACATGGATTTGACTAAAGCGGGAACTCAAAGAAAATATCAATTGTAAGAGCTAGAAGAAATTTGCTTGGAACCATATGAAAATTGAAGAACCTATTAGGAAAAGACCAAGTTGATGCATTATAAGCTGAGAGTTAGAAAAAAAGTTCAAAGTAGGACAAAAATTATTTCTCTATAATGCCAGATTGAAACTTATGCCAGGAAAACTTCATTTTAGATGGGAAGGTCCTTTTATAGTTACTAAAGTGTTTTCCCGTGGTGGAGTAGAGATTGTGGCAGAGTCTACTAGAGAAAAGTTAAAAACTTAATGGGCACCGATTAAAGCATTTTCATTATAGATTGAAGACACACATTGTAGAGAGTTTTCCCTCTAAGACATCACTTAATCAATCAGGTTGTATCCCTTCTCTTTAGTCTTAATTTACATTTTCCTATACATCTTTTGGACTATGTTCTACATTGAGGGCACTGTAGATTTAAGTATGGGGGAAAGCTTTTGCTATTTTTTTTTCTAATTTTTTTCTTGCTTTCAATTTTTTTGTTCTTTTTTTCTTGACAAATAAAAAAGAATTTGCAAAGTTGCACTACTACAAAAAGGCTTTTTTACTACCCTAATTCACGTCCCATTTTAAAAATGGGACTTAAAAAAAAAAATCAACGTCACACAGATAGGAGAGGGAAGTAAATTTAAGAATCCACATTCCTCATAAGCTAGGTGAAGTAGATTCTTTAGAATCCACATCCCCTAACTGGGAGGGGGACATGGATTCTAAATAATCCACGTCCCCCTCTTAGTTGGGGGATGTGGAGACGTGGATTTTTTATACAAAGAATCCACGTCCCCCAACTGAGAGGGGGACGTGGATTCTTAAATCCACTTCCCCCTCCCCCCGGGGGATGTGGATTCTCAAATCCACATCCCCCTTCTAGGAAGGAGATGTATAATATGTTGAAATTTTGGACTCCATGCATACTCACTTTTTCATTTTTCAAAGCTAGTGTGTTAGCTCTCTATGCTCTGTCTCTGTCTCCCTCATAGCTCCCTTTCTTGTCTTAGCTCCCTCATCTCTTTTCTCTATCTCCATCTCAGCTCCCTCCCTCATAGTTCCCTCTCTCATCTCAATTCCCTCTCTTATCTCAGCTCCCTCATTTCTTTTCTCTATCTCTCTTTTCTTAGCTCCCTCCCTCACTCTCTCTCTTAGCTCTCCCTGTCTCTATCTCTCATCTCTCAACTCCCTCCCTCACTCTTTATCTCTCATCTCCCAGCTTCCTCATTACCTCTATCTCTCTTGATAGCTTTGTAGACGAAGAAGCCCAGCCACTCACGACTAAGGACCTCTTCTCTTCTTTCCAGGTATTTTTTTTCCTTGAACAGGTCTCCACGCAAAATGTGATTTTTTTAACCTAAGAATGTGATCAATTAATTTTAGTTTTACATGATGTATATGATATTATGATGCTTAAATTTTGTTTGAGCCCATAAAAGTATATACTTATTATTTTAGATAATTTTATAATTATATAATTATAGGTGCAATCATTTTGTTTTTCCATTGCATTTGGTATATTTTGTTGCGATAGTATATAAATGGTTGTAAATGAATTTCTATTTATTAGACTTTTGCTGTATGAATTGGCTGTTTCTATGACATATTTTGGCAGATTCTATTTTAATTGTAAAGTAAATGAAAATTATATATAAAAAAATTTTTAAAAACCACGTCCCATTATAGGTAGAAAACAATGTGGTTTGTGAATCTAGATAAGAAACCACGTCCCCCTATACCATAAGGGACATGGATTCCTAAGAAACCACATCCCCCTATATCAAGAGGGATGTGGTTTCTCAATCTATGAACTAGGCAATGAGAAATCATGTCTCTCTCTTATTAGAGGGGGATGTGGTTTCTTTATAAACCACGTCCACCACCTATAAGAGGGGACATGGATTTTGTAGAAACTACCTCACCTATTATTAAAGGGGATGTGGTTTATGGTATTCCACATCATAGACATTTACGACATGGATAAGCCATTATTCTAAGTCGCCCAGTATGATGTCCCCTTCAATTGTGACGTGAAAATGCCTAAAAATGTGACATGAAAAGTATATTTTGTAGTAGTGTTGGTATTTTAAGACAATTTTATTTTGGATGCATTAAAGCATGATAAGTGGCAATGAAGTTGGTTTCAATGGATTAAGTGATGGTCTTTAGCTTGTGAGGATTTAAGCCTAATATGTGTATTCTCCTATTATTACTCTCACTCTAAAACTTGTTTTGATTTTTAGTTGAAACTATAATTGCATATGCTTTGCATGAAGATGATTTAGGAATTCTTTTCTTTTAGCCTACTTGGCCAAATAGTTATCACATGCAATTTATCCCTTATTAACCCCGTTGAGCCTAGACCTTTTCTTTAAAATTTTAGCCAACTGAAAACATAACCTATAAAAATATTTTTCCTTCATTTTTCTCACCCCACTTTAGATAATGAAAAATGCATCATAATATTTGTTGGAATGAAACAATATGCTTCAAGAGAGAGTTCAGTTATTTTGGAAAGTGAGTGAGAGAGAGAGAGAGGGAGAGAGAGAACCAAAAAGCAAAGAAAGGAAGGAAGGAAAAATAAAAAGAAAAGAAAGAGCATAAAAGGAAAAAAGCAAAAACAAAAAAAAAGAAAAAAAAAAGCAAAGGAAAGGAAAAACAAAATAAAGAGAGAAAAATAAACCCAAATTAATATTTTTTATTTCTTTCATTCTATATAATTCATTTTAAATATGCTTTTCATTCTCCAAAAGTTTATCAGCCTTCATTTTTCCATATTTATACCATACATTTACCTAAGCCCCATTATAACCTAAAATAAAGTCCTTTTGATTCTTGCATTGGATATAATATAGATAGTAGAGACCTAGATGATAAACAAGCCTATAGTAGTGGGGTTTTTATAGAGGAAATTGACTGAAATACTTACCCATATACACATGAGAGTTAAGAGTTAAACAGTTGACCTTTGTGAGAGGCTATTGCTTGATTCATTCTTACCAAATGAAATTGCTACGATGCTTCTTATTTTGGGTATAAGAGATATTGATTAGAATGTTAAAATGTTGAAGAGCTATAATTGTTTCTTATTGTTTTTTGCTTCCACATATCTTTTCTTAAATTTTGATATTTAAGTTTTTTCTAGGAGTGTAAAAGTCTAAGTATGGGAGCTAGAATTGATAGATGACAATTTTATATATTTTTGTCCTTTTGATTTAGACTTTTGAATATTTATTTAAGGCTAATTGAGTTTAAGTGGATATTATTTGATTTCATTAGCCAATCTTCAACTTTTGAATTTTAACTATCTAATTCTTTAATTTTAAAATATAAATGATATTTTTAACATTTTTGCACATTTTCTATTTATTTTTATTTGTATAGATTTTCTAGACTCAGTTTGGAAGATATTGATAGAATGTATTTTAGATAAGAAGAATAAGGACACACTTGAAGATCAAATCAAGAATCAAATTTTAGAAAGTTTTTTTATATTTATTTATGAATTTTTAGTGTAGTTTTCAACTAAGGTTATTTAGGGTAGTTTTGACTTTTTTAAATAAATTATTAGGTTTTATTTGATAAAGAAAGGAGAGATAGCACCTTGTGTATGTATGTGTGTCTGTGTGTGTGAATGAACAACTTTGATGACCAGAGAATTGGAAAATAAGGTGGTGATGCAGATCGTCCTTCACCTTCTTCTTTCCTTCAATTTTATTGATCGATAGCTCCTCAATTTCTTATGTTGTGCAGTTTGATTTTTAATGCTATGGAGAGCTAACGTATTGGTGTGATCAGTTACAAACCATGATCCTAAACTTTAATCAGAGTCTTTAATATTCAAGGAAAATTTTAATTTAGCTTTATTCCAATTTGCTCTTATCTTCTCTGCCTCTAAATTTTATGCTTTAATTGCTATTGCTAATTAGAATAACTTTATTGCATGATTTTTAAGTTATAAATTTTATCTAAGGTTTTACTTACTATAATTAATTCATATAGCACTATAAGAGTAATTTGGCCTAGGTTGAGTGATTATTCATGCTTTATTTCTAGTGTAGCTACTTAGAATAGTTATTAGGCTATGGGTTAAGGGAGATTTCAATTAATCTATAACTTAATTTGTTGTTTAATTCTTGAATGATAATTTGAGAAATATATAATAAAACTAAAATAATAAAGTTAAATAAAATTAATTTATTTTATGGACAAGGAAGATTAAATTTAGGTGATTGGGTTGTGATTGATTACGCTACTTGTGTTTAATAATTTTCTCAATTAAATTTATTTTTATTTATTTAATTTTAATTTATTTTTTTAAATTAATAACATTATAAAAAATCCCTCCCATTATTTATCTTTTCATAATCATAATTTAAATAGTTACTCTATTGACTCTTAGGGAGATGACCTAGATTGCGCTTTGCTATAAAATCTAGCTTTATTAATTTTGGTGCTATTTGACAGTAGTGTTAGTCAATAAAAGACAACATGCTATAGCACATGGCACAGAGAGTGACGTTGAGGTCTCTATGCCACATACTGCGGCAAATGTGGCACTAGCCACAGCACATGGCCCACTTTTTATGTGAATAATGAGGTTTTGAGTTGCTTTTTGATATGCTTACTCTCAATACTTTCGCTGTATAGTATTTTATAACTTAATTATCTTATGAAATGGTT